TTTCCCAACATTGTCAGTACATACAAATAGTACAATTAACTCTTAAACCCTTGAATATTCAGTTTCTCTTTCTGAAAAATCGAACTGTTAATCATGAATACAGTCTGTGATTCTTTGCAGATTCTGCAGATTCTCTTTTTTTGTAGCCCAAATGATGACAGACCTGCATATTGGGAGCATAAGCAGCTCATATTCAACGTCAAAAATAATTGGAAATCTTTAAATCAACAATAAACGTCACAAAAATTCCGCATTTAATTGTATTTAAATGCGACAGTATATGGCATTTCTGGTTCAGCATGTTTCTTACAGAAGGTATCGTGTACTGATCTGCAATCCGAAAGCTTTCCAACATGTAGATTACAGAACCTGTTTTTAGCTCTTGTTCTGAAACTTTCTATTTGGTGTCAAATCCTCATAGTGTGTTTATACTTGAAATTATCCTTTTTTTTTTCTCATTTTGAGTCTGGCCATCTTGTCAGTGCATCATATATCAAGGAGTTTCATGGCTTTATTTGAGTCATACCTACAATATCCAGGCAGATTTCATTATTTACTTTTATCTTGTAAGAAATTTTAAATTGCAAATAAAATGAAACTAGTATTTGTACACTTTGTCTGCTTCAAGTCATTTTTCATTATCCATTTGCTAAACAAGTAGTGATGTATTTGAACTGTTTTTTTTTACTTTTGTATCTTACTGCTAACATTGGATTCTTAGGAAAGTGGAATATTATCCACAGTTCAGCTATAAGTTATTCATAACCCTTACATTTTACTTTTCAAAGATTCCAGTTTAATGGACGTTTCGCCATTATTTCATTTTATTTATTTGAAAACAAATAAGCATTTGCAGTACAATTTTGTGCATTTATTTTTATTTTATTGTGTGTAAAGTGATAAGAAAGGGGCGGTAAAAGTAAAGTTCTGTAACATTTCTTGTGTGAACTTGAGTAAATGTGACTATATTTAGAGCTCGTACTACGTAGAGTGCCGCTCCTTCCCCTCCCGGTCATCCTTTCCGGCCAGCTCATCCACCGGCTGACTGTGAGGGAGCGCTGCGTTCCTGCTGGGCGCGTCTGAGATCACACCGGTTTCTGCTCCTGTGATTGCTGCTCACACTGGACCCGACTGGGTGGACGTCTATTTAGTCCGACTGGTTCTGTCGCTGCAGTTTGCGTCCATAGTTATAATCTAAGCAAAGTGCAGGAACTTATCCGTATGGGACGTTTTGGGCCCGGATTCATTCTTCATGGCTTCTTTCCATGTCCGAGCAGACGACATGTACGGCTTTAAAAGCGACGTTACAGACAATCTGGAGCCTGATTTGGAGCAAGGCAATGAACGTCACTTTGGGTTTTCTAATCTGGAAAATAACCTTCATGGAAGTGGCGACAGCACAGACCTTCCTGAGGAGTACAGGTGAGGTGAAACAGGTGGACTCGAATAACAGGATGTTTTGATTGCGACTTGTGTTCCTTTTTAGTCATCCAGATTTGTCTTCAGCTCTGAAACGCACCAAACAGCAGCAGGCCTGGGATTTGCTGAGTCCTTCATTAGACCTAAACTCTCGCCCTGAACCTCAAAAGAATGATTCCTCTTTACCTGAAGAGGAGAATCTGGAAGAAGGGTGATTGAGGTGTAAAAACTGCACTTTGTTTGAACAGGGTTATAGTTTAACTAATGTGGGTTCTTCTTATAAATCCAGGGAAGCAAGTTCAGATGAGGAATTGCACAGTGTGACATTCCAGTCAAAGTACATCAATATTTGTGAGTTAAAATATTCTTTATCTCTTGTTTTTCCTGAACAAAATGATTGAACACCTTTGATTCTTTTTCTCTTTTCAGTCCCCTTGTATCAGGACTACTCCCTGCAGGCTATCGGAGACGGGATTCAGAAACTCAAAGATGGGATTTTGTCAGACCCGGTCAAATCTGAGTCCGTTTACGGTCTGTTTTCATATTTGAGGGCGAGCAACCATTTAGAGGGCGAGTCTCCTTTTCTGACCCCTGACTCGACTTCACCTTCTCCGACTTTTTTTCACGGTCGGCGGTCTGCTTTGAGACGCCACAGCCAATTTGGAGTAGAATCCCCTCATCAGTCTGCCGATTCAATCTCAACCGAGTCTTGTTCTAATGGACGAGCTTCTACCTTAAGCGTCGGAAAGCGTTTGGAGTTTGAGGATCCATCCCCAACTCAACCACCCAGTATTAGGTTGACTTCTTGCACACTCTGGCAAGACTTGGAAGAGGTGAAAGCTTCTGGTCTGCCCAACATCTTGACACCCAAAGAGATTGGCCTTCAGGAGGTACGTGGCTTAAAATGTTGGACAAAATGATCTCGGTAGATTTGACATTTGACTTCTTTTCCCTGCTTTATAAGTCCATGTTTGAGCTGATCGGCTCTGAAGTGTCTTACTTGAAGAGTCTCGGCGTTCTTGTCAACCACTTCTACGCGTCGAAGGTGCTGAAGAAGACGATGTCCACAGTGGAGCATCGTACTTTGTTTTGCAACATCCGACATGTGATGGAAGCAAATACAAGGTGAGTTCCTCTGTTGCGACAGGATGTTTTTTGTTGTTGTTGTTTTTATTTCAGTATGAATGACTGTTTCCATTTTGAACTGGTGTCTTTTAAAGATTCCTTCTGGATCTGGAAGCTCGACTGGGGGAGGGCCTGGTAATATTTCAAGTTGGTGACATTGTGCTGCAACACTGTGGAAACTTTAAGCAACACTATGTCCCATATGTGACCAATATGACGTACCAGGAGTCACTTGTTAACCAGCTTATGTAAGCATTTTCTGATATTAATGATACTGGCCTAAATGGATATAGACAGTCCTTTATAGTCTACTGGAAATGGAGAAAATTGGTAATGGGTCAGTCTGTAAGTTTCTAATTACAATTAAAAGCAACTGTGTATCTTTAGATGCTTCTTGATTGGAATATTATTGCACTGGAGATTTCTGTAATTCAAATCAAAGTAAAACAAGTTTATAGCTGTTTTATGCAGTGAAACCTGAAGTATTAAGTTGAAATATGCCTTACAGCAAATTAAGCCTTAAAAAATAATCTTTCAGTTAATTTTCAATATTGCATGAGCCAAATAAAAATGTTAAATACAGAAATTTTGGACCACCAAGGGGCAGGTTAGTTGTTTCTTGCTAATTATCTGTTGAATGTTTAGAGCTTTTCCAGTGATTTGATGCCAAACATATGTTGCTTAAAATTGAAATATTGTCTGACTTTTATGTACTATGAACATTGGACTTCATTTCACATAACTAAGCTGATCTTTCCTTGTTTAGGCAGCAAAACAAAAACTTTGTGTATGCTCTGAAGAAGCTTGAAAGGGAACCGGTCTGTCAAAGACAAGGACTGAAATCATTCCTGATTCTCCCATTTCAGAGAATAACGCGTCTGAAACTTCTACTGGAGGTAAAACTTAACATGGGTTGATTATGAATGCCTGACTTTGCACCCTGCTTTAATTTTCAATTTTGATTTCAGGGCATCTTAAAATTGACCGAGCCAGACTCCGAAGCAGCTTCAAATCTCTCAAAGGCCATAAAAAGCATCCATGAGGTTTGGCTGTTTACTCCATCGAGCTGCAGAAATTACTTTTTCCTTTTGAATCCAGAGTCAATACAAAAGTTACCGTAAACGTGGCCTTTAGAAGTATTTTCTTTCTCTAATTTTAACATATTGCATGTTCTTTCTTATATTAAGATTGTGTTGGAGTGTGACCAGAAGGTGGAAAAGATGAAACGCTTGGAGGAACTGATCCGCCTGGAAACGCTGATGGACTTTGATGACATTAAGGTGTTTGTTTCATCATTTCGCGTCGGAGTTTGTAATGGACCCCCATTTATGACACTAATTTCTGAATTAATCCATGCCAGTTGGTTCCTCTGGTGAAAAGCACACGCTTTCTGGTCCTCCACGGACCCCTGTACACCCTGGTGACCTATGGGTCAAAACTATCGACAGTCAGGATCTACCTCCACCTCTTCAATGACCTCTTGATCGTCTCCTCAAAAAAGTACAACACTTAACTCTTTTGAAAAAGGCTGAGGGGTTTGTGTTCAGTAAGTGAATTCTGCAGTGTTCTTTAACTATTAAGTCCAACCTTTGTACTCCCACTTCCAGGTATGAACGCTTCGCTGTGCTGGACTATGCCGTCTTCCCTGAACATGTGACTGTGTTGGCAAATAAAGTTCTGGGACTCCCTGTGGATTCTTTCCTATTAAATCTGGCTCAGAGTCAGATGGGACCGCCGACTACCATTATATTGATTGCAAGTAAAAGGTAAAATTTGGTAGTTTTTTTTTTTTTTAAGTTGAAACTGGTGAATTAAACTTTATTTTTTCTAATTGCAGCTATGATAAAGAAGTATGGATAAAAGCACTTTCTAACAAGTGATGGCTGGATTTGGATCATTTTTTTAAATGGGGGCTGGGATGCATCTTGTTAGTTATTTAAGATTTTTTTTTATTCATTGGACTTGGTTCTTTCACACCATTGCACATTTTAATTATTGGCTCATGGCACTCGTGGAAATGTTCAACATAATGTTGGGAGTATGAAGGTGTCACCATTTCATTGGGGTTTAACTTTAATGTATTTTATAAATAAAACATTTTATGAGCTGGGTGATTCTGAATGTGTTAATAACTGGGTGATTCTGAATGTGTTAATAAGTTAATAACTTGGAACCTCCGGTTTATGTGACTCAAAACGGTTCATCTGAACATCAGTTCACAGAAACTGATCATATCAGCTTGTGTGAACCAGAAATGCTGATTCACACAAGCCAGCATTTCTGTTTTGGTTCTCCTGATACTGAAACACAAAGGTTTCAAGCTGCATTCCTTGAGGCCCTGAATCTTGTAACTTTAAATGTGTCCTACACAATGAATTAAATGGCAAAACTGCCTCACCAGCAAGCAGTCGAGCTCTACAAATATCTGCGGAAGCAGAGCAGCATCTAAAGGTTGCAGGACTGAAGCTTGGCCTCTCCTCGATCAAGTTTATTTGTATTGCATGCATCAGCAACAAGGTAATTCAAAGTGATTTACGTCTTGAAATCATTAACAGTGTGATGTGTTATGAAAACCAGTAACAGATGATGCATTTTGTCAAATGCTATTGTCAATGTACATCAGATATTTTGCTGAACTATTTATTTTCCACTTGAACAGCTTTTTAGTTTGACATGATGGGTCATTGAAATTGCAAGACAGAAACTTAAACATTGAAATTAGGTGTGTGTGGCTCCTGAAGCATCTATGGCAGCGTGTTAATTTAAGACCTGACTTCATCACTTAGCCCAATAATGGGTAGAGTTTAATCTCAAATTATAACTTGCTAAAGCCATAATGTGACAAGACTTCGAAGATTTGCAATGTGGAATTTTTGCTATAGTCTCCACAAAAATTGGGAAGAGATCAGGAGACCAATTACTGTTGACTCTTAAGTATTCAAAGGGTCAGAGGTCAGAAAAGCTGCACAGGCAGCAGTTACAACTGCAGTTTTTATTATTTTGAAAGCTAACTCTAAAGCAAAAAAAAAAAACTGTCCATGAATGCATGAAATGAGTTTTGCCTTGAAATTGTATCTTTTTTTTTAAGCACAAAATATCCATTATATTGCTGCTCCCATTGTCGTCACTGTATGTTAGGAGATTCCGGTCACCCCCCTTTTGACGATCCTATACCAAAATGACTTTGATCAGGGATCTTTAAGGTAGAGTCCATGTCTCGTGCTGCTGTTGCCGACCAGCTGCTCCAGCTCCAGCTGCTCCAGCTCTGACACAGTCCTGATGCCACAAGTTCTCTGCGAGACAGTTGAGTATGGGGGCTACGTCACCCAGCCCATCGCTGACCTCCCCACCTGAGTGGAACACCGGTAACCTCCATGTCTCCTGGAACTTCCTGACATCCCTCTCTGCTACGTCGCAGTGCATGAAGAGGTCAAACCTGAAGCGAGCATTAAGGGAAAACATGCCTCTTGGTATCCACCTGCCAGTAGAGCGTCTTTTTGATTGTCAGGTTGATCAGTTGACATAGACCGTCATATAAAATTGCTGAAATCGAAACAAGTTACCAAAAAAACTTGCAATTCCAGGGCACTTCTGGCCAGCTGCGTGATCTATGCCTTCTATATTTGATCCTCTTGCTGACAAGAAAAAATAACTAGTAATATTTCCGGCTGCAAAAGTAATGTGAAAAGTACACAAGCGCTATCTGTCAATCTTTTTTCTTTTTAGTTAGCAAGTCGACTCTGAGATGAGTTGCAAACAAAACTAAACTTAAGTGATCATAAGCAGAATTATAAAATGTGTTGCAAAACAAGGACTTAGAAATAGAACATTTTGTTTTGTACTTATTCTACATTATTTATAAAGACTGTGAATAGAATAAGCAAATATTATCCAAAGGTTTATAATTGTAATCGCATTTTGAACACCTTATGCTTTTCCGTATTAAAAGTGATCAATTTATGGCACACAGGTTTTTCTTAGTACACTACTGTTTGCAAAGACAAATGTACAGCTGCATAGTAAAAACTGCTGTGAAAATGTATTTCTTCATAAGGATACTTTGTCCCAACCACCACTTTGACAAGACAGTCAGTTGACTCTGCCCATTTAGTAATTTGATTTGACAAATCTTGGAAGGATGTCCTGTCAGTGAAGGAGAAAAGAAAGAGGACAGCGTCCACCTGTTCCTTACAGGACTGGAGGAAAGGAAAGAAAAAAAAAATCAGATGTTAAAGGTCTCACAGACTTTATTAAGTTTTTTTTTTTCTTTCTGTTTATACCCGTAAATTCTTCTCAACTGTGTACAGCTTCATATTTGATACATACTGGAAGCAAATGGTCAAATCTGCGTAAGGCATTCTCTCCACAGTCCCACAACTGCAGACGAAAGAAAAGCACTCTGCCATTTTCCCTCAGCTTCACAGGCCAGTACACCACTGTTGTCTGAATCCCTTGAACAGCGTCAAAAACATGATAGGAAAGTTTAAAATCAGAAAACTCTCTAAGTGTTCTTAGAGAGTTGCAAAAAAAAAAAAAAAGATCAGACCTACCTATGGTTTCATGGTGCACACTAGGAATATTTAGACCAGCAAGGCGTGCAGCGAGAGCTGTTTTTCCAACTCCACTCTTACCAGAGATGAAAATCTTATAATCAAGTGTATCCACGGCTGCATGTGGGGGCATCACAGGAGACTCCAACAGACCTGGTTTAAGAAGAGAACACATGTTTACCTTGCTGGATGTTTTTAAAAGAGGTGCTGACATCTCAAAAATAAGAATAGTCTTCACATTTGTTATTTGTTTCAAAAGGTTTAAATGCCTTTGAGTCTAGGTGTCACAGAAAAAGGCGATTTGAACTGGCTTATTAGACAGTTTTTCCATCAATGGACATAAATGTTTCAGTTGGCTTCTGATAGAAGACTTAATACTGAAAATAACTGAATTAAAACTCAACTTAATGTGCTAATAATTACCAAAATTCTTCCGATTCTTCTTATGTATAATTTTGTTGAAGTATTCTTTGCTATCTTTACATCGATGCCAGTCAGGGACAATAAATGCTCCAGGAGGAACTCTTGCCATTATAGATGCAACTTATGCGGCTAGCATCAGAAACTCTTCGCTTTCGTTCCAAACACAAACACCAAGTGTTGCTTAGTCGATAAAATCCAGCATTAAAATCACACAAACATACCCCCAAACCAAAAGTACAATAAAAGTGAAAGGTAATAAGGAACAAATATATATTTTAGCGAAAATGCTAGGAGTTCCGTAAACTAAAATCCGTCCCTTGACAACCGTTTACATCACTTCCGTTTTGAATGTTGCCTTCGTTGTCTGTCGGACGTAATAGTGCCACTTTTAATTGTAGCATTTCGAAAGAAACATGTTGAAGAAAACATATATCTTATGAGAAATTATGATAAATGTGAGTTCAGATCATACCAAATTTCTTTCTTTTCATCAACAAGTTGTGTAATTATTGATTATTGATTTCCATCAGTTTCATAGAGTTTATGTGATGCTGCACGAACAGCAAAGCTGAATTCAGGTTGGTTAGTTTTAAACCACTGATATTAGGGAAAGAAATTTTAAAAAAAACATAACATTCTCTCGTCCGGGAACTTTGGGATTCCAAGTTTCTTATTTTCGCTATCCTTTGAATGTTACACAAATACATTTCACGATTCACCGCCTGGGGTCGCTAGAAAACAACTTTTTCTGAAAGGTTTGGACATTTTTATATCAGTGCTGGAGAAATATTACAGAGCAGCTCAATAATTATCCTTTGAAGAATCCTTTGATGTTTTTGTTAACCTGTCTCTCTCACGCAGAAAAATATTTAGTCATGAATGTGTTTATTTTGTTTGTTAAATGAACACTATTCAGTTCTCACAATTTAGAGCAATTACTTGTTTTTCTAAACAAACAAAAAAAAACTTGAATGCCAGGATAAGTGATTAAATTGTCACTAGGAGAGCAAGAAAACCTGTTTCAGCTTGTGGTTTCAGGAAAATAATTGGAAGGTAGAAAACATAGAGCATTTTTCATTCAGAAGCGGAAAGGGCAAAACCTGCAGGATGTTGTACTGTTGCTGTTTCTCCAGCAGAAAGCTGACTGAAATCATTTTTGCAGAAGTCCTTTGTCTTAAAACAATAAGCAACTAATCTCTTAGAATAGTCTCGTATTAACAAAAGTTTAAGAAATACTTTGTCATGCTGTCTGACTATGTGAAATTATATCCTCTAAGATAAACTAAAACACATCACAGGGTGAACTGGAAAATGTTGCTAATTAGCCACATTTCCTGCAGGATGTGGACGTATTCAAATCTTCCAACGTGGAAAATACTTTTTTCATACAGGTCATGAATCTTCAGAAGCCTATTTGTTTCTGTCTTCAGGCTTGTAATTTACCTCCCTTTTGTTACAGTTGTCAGCACATATGAGGCTCCCATAATAGACTGTGGGTGCCTGTGGAATGGGTGTGGATGCTCGATCTCCACTGATGGAGACAGAGTGGAATATGACACAGATATTGGACGTTTAATGTGTCAGAACTGTTGTTGGACTCCTGTTTGGAGGGTTTAGCATTTTTAGCCGCACCCTAGCCTGGTAGTGTGTCATTCTTTGTGTTGGAGTGTGAGAAAAGGTGTGGAGATGTTTCAGTGAAGCACTTTATGCTAAAATTATAAACTGTTACAAACATTATATTTAAAAAAAAAAAAAAAAGTCAAAACAGACATAAAGTTAAGATGAATCCGCATAGGAATGCACAGGAAGGAGCGTCTCATGTTAGCTGTTCATCAGCAGCGTCATCTCCAGTGAGCATTGAGCCGAGCCTGGCCGGTTTAACTTGGCTGAGCAACAGATGTGAAATGGAGCACAAATGGTGTGAGATTCTGCTCCGCCTTGCACAGTCAAACTTCCTGACAGCCAGCAAAGGACGAGCTCTCTGAGGCAGAACGGCTAATTAGAAAGTAAAACAAACTCTGAGCTGACCTTTAAAGGTCTCATTCACAGCTGCCAAAGATGTTTTATTCATATGTAACACATATCATAACAGACATGCATGAAGCATACACAGTGGCTTGCTAAAGAACTTGCCCTATCCCTTAAACCTTTTTACATTTTATTTCACAGCTGAAGTGAATTTTATCAGTATTTACTTCAGCTGTTTAACTGGTTTCCTTTCAGGTTTAACCATGTATGAAGATACACCTATTGTCACATCAAGTCTGACCAGATTCCCTCTTCCTGCTAAAAAAAATGCATCCAAGCAGCATGATGCTGCCACCACTGCTCTACAGTGGGGGGTTATTTAGAGTCAAATGTTATAGTTTTTCTCCTTTCGACCATCTGAGTTTTCACAGAACTGCTGTGTTTATGAAGAGACTAAATTACCCATGTGAACTCTGTTTGCTAATTGTCTGACTTCTGAAGCCAGTGGATTTTATTTAGAGTTGTCAAGGTAAAGGGGAGCTAAGTTCACACAGACACATAATGAAAAGAAAAAAAAAATCATCCAGCCAGTACTGGCAACAAACATTTTATTCCAACACATAAGAAACAGCTGGGCTGACACGCACCAGATCTGTTATTTTGTATGACAAATGACATAAATATAAAATACAATAAATATTAAATAAAAAGTGAACAGTTGTATTAAGACATGATGTAAACAAATGAAAATATGCGATGAAGACATGAACTGCAAACCATAACAATCTGTGATTTTTGCCCTGAGTGAAATGAGATTTACAAATTTATACACAAGTCACAAATTATAGAAAGTACAAGAACAAAAGGCTGACGGATCCAGAATAGAAAAAGATGAGTGCTTGGTATATTTCAGTCAGGTACTACAAGTGCAAGCACTCTCACATTATGCATGTTTTCATACATTTGTGTAATCTACATCATAGAAATTGTATATGTTCAACATATGAGACATTTTTTATATAAATTACTCTCCTTTGTTATGATATGGTACACAAATGTGCTCAGTTCTCAGTCCTTTCTGAGTGGCTCGATGGCTCCTCTTTAATCATCCAATGTTGGGCCACATAAAGACGAAAAAAATCATCCTTGCAGCGTGGTTCGGTTTCACTCCCCCCTTTCAGTCCCCTCCTGGTCTGAGTGAAATGGCATGGCCGGTCAGTGCACTTTGATTTGGAGGAATGCTTAGATCACACTGCAAACACGCTGAGGGAGCTGGTCTCGTCTTTCAGGCCCAGGATGCTGTATGCTATCCTCTTCATGTGGCCGGGCAGCCGAACGCCAATGTTCCTAATGTCTCTGAAAAGAAGCAAATCAACACGCCGCTGTCAGAAGGCTGAACACGAGCGGGAATCTGTAACCTATGCAGATATGAAAGTCACATTCCATAGCTAAATGTGGAGTAATTACAGCTCACAGCACCAGAAAGTTTAATTTGCACAGACAAGCAGAGTGTGTAACAGTCTACTTTCCCTTGAATATTTAACTTTAAAAGTTACAGCCATTCAAGAACTGTTTAAACTGTTCACACATAGTTGTGGCAGTTTATGATGGAAATTAAATTAGCATATCAAGTATTTATAATTCCTCAGTGTGCTGAGGAATTATAAATGCAGCATGCTGAGAGGTGAATCAGCACAGAACTCACTCAGGCCTCAAGGCGAGCACATGGTCCATGGTGGTTATCCCCGCTCGAGCAAAGCTTTCATTGTACTGGCTCATCTTGATGGACTCGAGCCACTCGGGCACCGATCTGAACATGGTGTTGTCACAGCCGCTGGTGCTGGGCAGGCGGATGGACACGCTGCAGGGAACCACAGGAAATCAGTATTCACAAGCACATAGTGCACATTTCTGTGCAAGTAATGATGAAAATACACCATCATCTATTAATCTCTCTCTCTCTGTAAGCCTTCTCACAAACTTTATAACATTTATTTATGATAACACATATATATGATATATATATATATATGATAATATATATATATATATATATATATATCAACTGGGATGTGGTTAAGTAAATATATTTACTTAATTTCAGATAAAAACTTCTTTGTCTGTAAATATGTTTCACCCAAAACTTCTCAAGTGGTGTAATTTTCACTTCATCCAGTTCAAATTCGCTGAGGGAATCCTCTATTATTGTATGTTATTTTAAAAATCAAGTGAATTACTTGTTTATTTTCATCTTTTAATGTATTTCTAATATTGCATGAAAAAGCTTAAGACGTAAAATGAAAATCTGCAGAAAGTGCTCTTTTTTTATCAGAATAACAGTCAGAATAATGACCTAAAATAATCATCAGTTGCAACATCACACAATTTTGAATGTAAAGGTTAGGTAAAGTTAGGTATACATGAGCTGTTAACACTATATATGTTTGCAGTGAAAACAATTTAAAAATGAAAACGATGAAATGCTAACATAAGCACATGTCATAAACAATGTATCACTTCCCTCATGTGTCTTTCTCTTTCTCATTAAAACAAACATTTTGTCCTTACCGTGGGTCAAAGTCAGCGATGGTTTTCAAAGATTCTGGACTCTGCAGAAGTTTGTCCAAAATGTTGACGACGTCTGAGAAGCGAGGTCTCTTGGAGCGGTCGTGCTGCCAGCACTGAAGCATGAGCTGGTAGATAGCAGACGGGCAGTCCATCGGAGCGGGAAGCCTGAAAGCCTCGTTGATAGCCTTCATGACCTGAGGAGGAGGAGAGGGGAGCAGCTCTTGAATTTAAGGTCGATTTATGAGCTACAGTCAGTTTGAACAGGCAGCAGTCCAACAAACTGCTCAGCACCTACACTGACATTAAGATTTGATGAAAATGGTGAGAAACCACACGCTTGGCCGTAAGGTTGCTTTCAATCACCACATTCCAAGCACAGGCCAAAACAATCAGTCATCACAGCCATAAGGGTCGTGACAGATGAAACATACCTCATGGTTGCTCATGTCCCAGTAGGGCCGTTCTCCGAATGCCATGACTTCCCACATGACTATCCCGAAGCTCCACACGTCGCTGGCCGAGGTGAACTTCCTGTATTCAATGGCCTCTGGAGCGGTCCAGCGGATTGGGATTTTACCTCCCTGACACAAGAGAAACATCAACAAACCAAGCTTAACATGTGACAGGAGAGGAAATATGAGGCGGTGAGGGACCAAACGCTTATGAGTGGAAACACAATTAACAAATGTGCAGTGGATAGAGACTAAGCCCAGCAAGAGTTGGAGTTTCTAATTCTGTTTTAAAGCTGCAGTATGTTTTTCCATATTTGTTAAAACGTCACCATCTTGAG